GATGTGATTCTGCAACTTGTATTTGGGGTAAAAATGGGAGTTCATAACCCACTTGAATCAAATGTATGAAAGATGATATGTCATGCGCTATGTAATGTTTTGAACAACCAATAAAAAAAAATAAAAAAATAAAATAAAAGACTATTCAAACCCATTGTATCTATGTGTTCCAGGTAATAGTCCAGAAAAAAACATTTTGGCAATTTAACATTTTTATAGTTTAAATTCAAAATCTGATTTTAGTTTCTTCAGTTATGAAGGGGAAGAAAATGGAAGCAAAAAGGAAATTTTATAAAAGTAGACAATGGGCTAGAGATATAATTCAGTGGTAGAGCGCTTGTCTCACACAGGGCTCTAGGTTTGATCCCCAGTACCACAATATATATATATATATATATATATATATATATATATATATGATGCAATTATAAATTATGTGCAGCACATATGTATGCACATACAAACATTTAAAACCTGATTAAGATTTGATAAAACCAGTCAGGTACAGTGGTATGTGCCTGTAATCCCAGTGGATCGGGAGGCCGAGGCAGAAGTATCCAGGGTTCAAAGCCAGCCTCAGCAAAAGTGAGACTCTAAGCAACTCAGTGAGACCCTGACTCTAAATAAAATACAAAAAAAGAGCTGAGTTCAATGACCCTGAGTTCAATCCCTGGTGCCAAATTTTAAAAAAAGAAATTGATAAAGCCTGAGAATGGTCAATTATGGTCCCTAATTTGCAAAACAACCAGAAGAAACCTGATATGGCTATGAGTTCATATCTATTCATTATCATTTTGATGGTTGCAAAGTAAAAGATAAGCGCTCAAGTACTACAAGAATAGTGGAAAGATCTGTATAAAACATAATTGCCTCTATAATATCTCATATTTACAATTGTATCTTATTTTCTAATAAACATATAAAGTAAATATGTTTATTGCTACTGATTGTAAGGAAAGGGCCAACATCACTCACTCTGATCAAATAAGTTTTGTTGTTAAACTCTGAGTCAATAATGA